TTCTGTTTAATTGTTTGCCTTCCCTGGTGGATTGATTCTTTTTTTTTTTTTCCTTTTGTATTTAGTCCAGGGTCTACAGGGTCTCACTACGTAGATCAGATTCATAGTGATTCTCCTGTTTTCAGCCTCCCAAGCGGTGGGATTACAAGCACGCACTGCCGCGCCCAGTCTCAATCACCATCTCAACCTGTCCTGGGGGCAGAGCCAGCACGACGACGCGCCAGGGATTGGAATGTGGGTCCTTGCATCTACCTAAGCAAGCGCTTTAATCCACTGAGCTATCTGGCCAGCTCTTAATACTCTGTTCTTGTATTGAGTCTCTAGTCTTGACTATGATAGGCCTCAGTGTAGAAATTTTTTATCATGCCTAATTGGACTTCTAAATGCCACCCTTACTGTGTGTCAGATTCTTTCTCAATGCTTGGGCCGTTTTCTGCCATGACTTCTGTGAACAGGTTTTTTGTGTCATTTGCATTATCTATCTCCGGCTTTTTCTTTTCTTTTTTTTTTTTTTCTTTGTGGAACTGGGGATTGAACTCAGACCTTTGCGCTTGCCAGGAAACACTTATTCCCCTGAGCCATCTCCCCGGCCCCCCTGTCTTTTTTTTAATGTATAATTTTATTTATTTATTTGCTACAGGGTCTCACTACGCAGTTCAGACTCATAGTGATCCTCCTGTCTCAGCCTCCCCAGAGCTGGGATTGCAGGCATGCACCACCAAGCCTAGTCTCAGGGCCTACATGGTGCGCCTGCGGGTGCCAGGGCTGGCACAGCCTACGGCACCAGGGAATGAACTTGGGTCCTTGCACTTGCCAGGCAAGTGCTGAGACCACCGAGCTGTCTCCCAGCCCTCGCCTGCTTTTTCATCGACTCTGATCAGTCTTACATTGTTTTTCTCTGCATCATCTAGCAGTTGTTGGATTGACTTGTCATGGTTTCTTACTATTTTAAAGAAATCTTTGTTTTCATGGTTGATAACCACAGACCTATGTTCTGGAATTGACATTCTGTCCTCATGTGTACTTTCGGTGGAATTTTAATCTACTGGGCATCCGCTTGACTCCGTTTCCTGGACTCCATGTTTTTCCATGTTGAGTGTTAATTGTTTCCATCTTTTCCTTATCTCTTTTTTTTATCTGTATCTGCTCTTGTCACTGGTCATGTCTTTCAGTGTGGCCACCGTTTCTCTAGTTCTTTGGCAAGTTATTTCTTTTTTTTTTTAATTTTATTTATTTATTTGTGTGTGTGGCCAGCTCAGCCCACCAGGGGGCGCGGCTGGCTGGCATGCGGTGCTGGGGGATTTAACCGCGGTCCCTGTGTTTGCTAAGATTGTTCTAAGTAGGTGCTTTAGACCACTGAGCCATCTCACCAGCCCCCTTTGGCAAGCTATTTCTGACGTTTTTCTAGAGCCTCCTACTTGGTGTTTTTAACTGTACACATGGGCCTCCGTTCTCAGTCATATCAGACATTTTCCCACATAGTTTTCCACAGTCCAGAAAATATGAGCCTTGTTATAGTGAACTGATTGTATTGGTTTTTCTTTCTTTTCTTTTTTTTTTTTTTTTGTGGAACCGGGGCTTGAACTCAGGCCCTTGCACTTGCCAGGGAAGTACTTATTCTACTGAGCCACCTCCCCAGCCCCTGTTTTTTCTTTTTTAAAAAAATCGTTTATTTATTTATTTATTTGGTACAGGGTCTCGCTACACAGCCCTGACTCATAGTGATCCTCCTGTCTCAGCCTCCCCAGCACCACCACACCCATTTTCAGTGGCCAGCAAGGCATGCAGTACTGCGGGTCAAGCCTGGGTCCTTGCGCTTGCCAGGCAGGCACTATGAATGCTGAACTATCTCCCCAGCCTTTTTTTTTCTTTTTGAGACGAGGTCTTGCTGTGTAGCTCAGCTCACCATGTAGAGTTGACCCCCCACAGCACCAGCAGGGCTGCCACCTTGAACTCACTACCTGGCCCTGACCAGCTTGTAGCAATCCTCCTGCCATAGCTTACCACATGGTGGCATATAGGCACATGCCACCACACCTGACCTGCATTTTCAGCACGAGCAAGTAAGTGTATCTTAGGAAGCCACAGCCCCTAC